CAAGAGTCACCAGGCAGAGTACTGCTGAGAAAAGGGCCACAGGTGCATCAGCATTCCCATCCTTTGAGTCACCAGGGCTGTAAGTTATAACCACCCCAAAAGCATTCCTAAGGAAAACAGCCACGAAGACACTAGAGGACTGCGCCATCTAGCAAACCACTACTGTTGCTGGTGATATATGTTCAGTATGTGACAATTAAAATGACAGTAAAATTACAAATAATTCATGAAGACTGAATTCAGATTTAATTACTATCTCCTTAGGACATACACACTGTATTACCAAATCTAAAATTTTTAGACAAGTTTAATGTCACAGGAATAAATGACAATGTTCTCTTCCACAGAATAAAGTTTTACAAATCATTCATGTAAAATACTGAGGACTTTGGAATGACTGAAACCTTAGTGTATACAGATCAGTCCTGAAAAATTAACTGACCAAGACAGAATTTTCAGTGAGTTGTCTCAAACCTGGTCTTACTAGGCACTTCCTACTTTGGAGAATGAGATGCATATTTCATTTCTGCAACTGTAACATGAAACAGCAATATTGTTGCAAAACTCTTTTTAGTTAAGGTAATGGGCTAGATGTGGTAGCACATGCCTATAATCCCAGCATTTGGGAGGCTGGGGTAGGAGGACTGCTGTAATTTGAGACCAGCCTGGACTACTGTGAGTTCAAGGCCAACCTGAACTACATAGTAAGACCTCAATCTCAAAAAGCAACACAAGCCAGGGATTTAGCTCAGTTGCCTAAGCATCTGTCTGGCAAGCATGAGGTTGTGTGAGGTTGTAAGTTGTTCCCAAAAACAGATTTAGCGACTATCTCCTTAGGACACACACACTGTATTACCAAATCTAAAATTTTTAGTCGAATTTCATGTCACAGGAATAAATGACAATGTTGGTACCAAAAAAAAAAAAAAAAAAAAAAAAAAGCTACACAAATGAAACAAAAGGTAACTTACATCTTACAGCAAGTCATGGTGGTACATACTTATAAGGGAAATACTCTTTGAGGCTGAGATAGGAGGATCACAAGTTTGAATTCAACCTGGGCAACACAGCAATTTAGTTAGACTGTCTCAAAATAAAAAATAAAGGGGCTGGGGATTTAGCTCAGCGGCATAAGCGCCTGCCTTGCAAGCAGGCAATCGTGAGTTCGATCCCCGGTACCGATAAAAAGACAAAAAAAAAAAGAAAAAAAATAAAAAATAAAAAATAAAGTTACTGGGGATATAGTTCAGTGTGAAGGCCATGGGTTAAATCCCAAGTACTTAAAAAATAAATAAACACATAAATAAAGCAGAGCACACGTCTTCATTAGTATAGTATGCTCAAAGTGAACGCAAGGTGTCAGGAAAAACAGAATCTACACTAAAGGCTGTTGGGTAATCTAATCCTTAAATCAGTGACTGATAACAGACTAGTTGTTAATCTTCATCAGGGGTTGTCATTATCTGAGGCAGCCCTGGCACAGCAGTCCAGGCTGTCAGATGAGGGGTTTTTCAGGGATAGTATTTTCATCAAATAAAGCTATCACCATTTTTCAGCATCTGTGTCACTTCTATTTAGGAAGCAGCAGGTAAGATATCTTTTGATTTATCATCTTTTCTTCCTCCAATAGGCAGGTGGGATGGGAACCATTCTCCACATATTACAGAGTGCAGAGGCCTAGAGACAAAAGGAGCCCTGATCATGTAGGAGCCTATAAAGAAACAGGAGGTATGTCTGATCAAAAAAACTACATTCATGGCACAAAATTCTGCAGCAAAGAATAAACCTCATTTTAGTGTATGTGTTACCAAAGCAAACACTAAACTTCATTTTAGAAGTGCTACATTTTTTTTCAGAGCTGGGGAACCCAAATTCTAGCACATGCTAGGCAAGCATGCTACTACTGAGCTACGCCCCTAGTCCCAAATACCTTCTTATTCCCCCAGTAGTGGCCTCTGTCAGGGCCTCTGTACTGTGCTACATTCCCAGTCCTTTTCTTATTTTGAAACAGGGTATTGCTAAGTTACTAAACTGCCCAATTTATAAGCCTACTGCCTCAGCCTCCTAGAGTGCTGAAATTACAGGTATGCACCACCATGCCCAGTCCATTTCAAGTCCTACATTTTTAACTGCTCAGCATATAAAACATCTAGAGACTTATAAAGAGCACCATGAGGTGCTAAGGGTCCTCAATTGTGGGATTGGTCCTCATGCTTTGTTTGCACAAATGCCTTCTAATCAGTCTGCTGAAGACTTTGGGGTTTGGAAAGTGTTTTGTTTGCTGATGTGCCTCATTCATACGCAGTACTATACACTCCATGACTTTAGATGTAAACCTCTTCCCTAGATGAAACTATCCTATTATGACTTAGTCTCACTGCACTTCAGCCAGTCATTCAGTAAACATCTGTTCAGCATCTACTATTCTCTAGGTACCACACACTTCACCTCTAACAATTCAGCACTGGAAGCTTTCACGGGGTTGTGCACAATGTAGGTGATTAATGGAGAGTTAGAATAAACCTGACTCTCAGGAATCTAAGCCTGATATTTATGGGGAGACTCTGAGCAAGACACTGCCACACTGGGTTCTACGCTGAGCCAGAGATGTCACTCTCTGCAACAAAAAGGACTCGTTGGGGGCTGGAGATTTAGCTCAGCGGCATGAGCACCTGCCTTGCAAGCAGGCAGTCATGAGTTCAACCCCCGGTACCGATAAAAAGGAAAAGGACAAAAAAAAAAAAAAAGGACTTGTGACCAAAAGGCTAAGCCCAGTCAGGCATGGTGGCTCATGCCTGTAATCCCAACACTCAAGAAATGTACGAAAAGGATCCCTGTGAGTTTGAGGCCAACTGAGGATACATAATGAGCCCAAGGCTAGCCTGGATTTAGAAAAGCCCTATCTCCTCAATCAGGAAGGGGAAAAAAAAAAAAAAAAAAAAAAGGACCAAGACCACACTAACAGACTTGGCCTTGGGGACACAAAGGAACACACTCTGAGGGAGGTGCAAGTCTTGTCAAAGAGCTCAGGCTGTGAGGGCATTAGGAACTGTTCACTCTCATGCAGTACTGAAGAAAAGCAGGACAAATGACTACCTCATCCCAATCGTCTCATGTCACAAAAAAGTACCAGTAACCAAAGACAAAAGTTTTGTTTTGCTTTGTTTGTAAATCTAAGGCCACTATTACGAGTGCAAGATCTGAATTTTAAAAACTTCTATCATGATTAGCTATCATGAGACAGGGTCTTACTATGTAGTTCAGGTTCCAGGCTGATCTCAAACTCATGGTGATCCTCCTGCCTCAGCCTCCTGAGTGATGGGATTACAGGCATGCTTCATTATGCCAGCAATTTTTAAAAAATTTTTAACTCTGAAATAATTACAGATGGAAAGCTGCATAAAAATTTGTAAGAAGGTTTTATGCATCCTTCTAGTCATTCTCTTAACTGGCTTCCCTTTCCTCAATTAGTAGGTGGGAGTTGGCAGTTCTGTCCTAAAGGTACATGGTACTCACTATACACTTACCAGGAACTCTGTGCTCAGTACTCACCCACAATGAGTGGCAGGGCCACACAAGGCATTACTACTGCTAAGCTTCTCATTTCCATTCATTTGACAAATACTTACAGAGCACACACTAAGCACCAGCAACTCTTCCTCAAAAGAAAAATCTCCCCATAGCGATTATTACCTCAGAGAAAAATGTCAAATATGATGATAAGTACTAAATAGGAAATCAGCAGGATCAACAACTGTGGGTGGAAATTAGGCAGGGAAGAAAGTCAAGAAATAAAAGGTAGAGAAATTATAAGTAGTGTAATCATAGAATGTCTCCAATAGCCATGAAGAAGTGAGCATTCCAGGCAATCCCAAGGATACAGCGTATCACTTTGTTCAGAGACCAGCAAGACTACTGGAGTGGGAACAAAGTGAGTGAGGGGGCTCAGATCTTGCAGGGACTGACAGGCCATCTCCCTCCAAAGAGATTTATATCTAGAGGTCTCACGAGCAGATACACAATCTGACATAGGGAGCCACTGAGTCCTACAGCACTGACACAGAGAAAAGATGTGGACTAGTTGAAACTTCCAAAACTAATTTCCCCTCCGGTTAGATCACTCAATCCTCACACTCAACAGAACATTTTTTTAAAAAAAAAGAGAGCAAAACAATTAAGTGAAAATTACCTTAGAAGCATTAGAGTTTTGCCTTCAAGCAATCATGACAAGGAAGTAACATAACTGTTTTTACCATTCAAACAGGTTTTACTGAAACAGACAAATTACTAAAGAAAAAAGCTCTTAACAATTCAAGCACATTAGGCTAAGACCAGCTGGTTAGCACATCCAAAGAGTAACCCAAATCCCTCCCATCAAAGCCAAATCCGAAATCAAAGCTGAAACTTCTGCTTTCTTTTCCCCTAAGACATAACTGGATGAATTCTGAGGAACCATCTCACAGGCAAATGGAAAGAGTTCTTAACCTAGCCACTTAACATGACAAGTTAGAGCCTGAATAGATGAATCCCTAATGACCTACGTAAAAGTACGATGCAAAATGCCGTAAAGCAGATAATGCAGATTTTTTTTCACAAGCCAAATGTTTTTGAAATTTACCATACTTAAAAGATAATTTCAGAGCGTTAAGAAGCAATTTTTGACTACTGGAGCTGTATGAACCGGTGTCTCAACTACCCGGCTCCTTAAACCAAGGGTTCTGGTCTCCCGGACTCTGCGAGGTGGGCCGTGCGCGTGGACCCAGTTGGCCTGGAAAGCCCCGCAGCCGCACCGCCCCGCCCCGCCCGACACCAGGCCGAGCTCGGCCTCGCTGGGCCCAGACCCAGACCTACCGCAGATCTACAACCTTTCCTCCACCGTCTCGGCCGCCGGCTCACCAGCCGCCGAGGGTCGCCGCCATTTCCGGCTGCGAGAGGCCGGACTCGCGGCCCTTGGCCTTCGCCTGATTTGAAGCCCGCTGGTCAGGCTGCCTCGAGCTCACCTGTCCGCCCGCCGCCTGCCGCCGGCTCCGCGGCTCCGCTCCCGCTCCGCGGCGTTGCTGGCAGCCAGCCGACGCACTCCTCAAGCTGGGAATCCCGGCAGTCGCGGGTAGCAACACGGGGCGCGGGAGCAGCACCGGCGGCGGACACGCGCACGCTCATACACGTTCACGCACGCTCACGCACGCACCCGCACTAGCACGCACGCCCTCGGAAGGACGTGGACTCTGACGGGTCGGAGGGGCAAACGGGGCCGCTAGCGCATGCGCCCAGAGCGCTGTGTGGCAACCCCGCCCGCCAAAGAACCGAGCCGCCAGCGTCCGCCGGGTTTGGAGGGCCCAGAGAGCCAATCTGCGGAGCCCCCGCCCTTAGGTGGGCGGGGTCGACTAACCAGGGGCGGTGCGCCCGGAGGCGAAGGCCGGAAGTGCCCCAAGGGCAGAGTCGACGTAAGGGGGCGGAGGCAGCAGTCTGAGACCCCGAGCGCCTCAGGTGCTGCTGAGTGAGACCCGGGGAAGAGGCTGTTAGGAAAGATAAAAACGGGATTGACTTGTGGCTGTTTGCTCAGTGCTTTACCCAGTTAGAAAAAATTTAACTGTCTTTATCAAAGAACTTGGGAGGGGAAACTGGCGCAGCGACCTCACACCCCATCAGAGCCACTAGGTGAGACAGAGCCGAGGGGACTTGCTTCCGTCCTTCCCGTCCGGTCATTCAACTGGCACCGCCCGCTTCCGGAATCACCTGCACACAACAGCCTGCTGAGGCGGGAAGGAACTTCGACTCCACCTTCTCCTGGGCCGGCAAAGCCTTTATTCATCCCATAGTCCCGATGAGACTGGAAACCTGGTCACCCTTCCTTGTCACTTGCTCTTGTGTGCTATTTCTTAAGTGTTTGAATCCTGCAGCAGACCAAACGATCTTTGCAGCCAGGGCGCTGGCTGCCGCGCTCTTTCCCCTTCCCTACCCATTTTTCCATCAGCAGTCACTTCTGCTCTTGTTGGTTTTGGGGGTCTGGTTTTTTGATCCAGGATCTCTCTAGGTAGCACAGGTGGCCTCCAACTGAACATCCTTCTGCCTCAGCCTTCCAGGTGCTGGCATTGCAGATGGCAGTCACCACACCCAACTTTACCAGTCACAGACTAGAAACAAAGCAGCCAGGCTTGGTGGGGCCCACCTGTAAACTCAGCACTACGGAGGATAAGGCCAATGGATCAGACTCAGCCTGGGCAATTTAACAGCTATGCGAGATTCTATCTCAAAAAAATAAGAGCTGGAGATGTAGCTCAGAGCAAAGGCCCTGGGTGCAAAAAGCCAATGACAAGGGGTTGGGGATTTAGCTCAGTGGCATAAGCACCTGCCTTGCAAGAAGGGGGTCATGAGTTCAATCCCCGGTACAGAGAAAAGAGAAGAAAAAATTTAAAAAAAAAAAAAAAAAAAAAAGCCAATGACATCAAATGCTTCCTAGGACTCCATACAATCCAGTTTCTTTTTCCAACAGGTTTGCCCCCACCCCCACTCAACTTTAACCCATCTTTTTGGTCTTAAACTGTCATTGTTGCAAGGTTTACAGACAAGCTAATCTTTTCCTACTGGGACTCAATAGTACACCCATGCCTAGCAGGCAGGAAGCTGAGTTTGATCCCCAGCACCACAAAAACAGAAAGGTTAACTGTCAAGGATTGCCGGTTGTTAGTTCTGAGTCTCACTTTTACCTCTGATGTGTCAGGCCCTGTTGCACGGATGCCCTTTACCTCAATGAGACAGATACACCATCTTCATTCTGAGGCTTTAGGTGTGGCTGCTTCTCCCCGTGCTACCTGCTTCAGGTGTGCCCTCCATTAGCTCATCCAAAAAGCGCTCAAAGCTCTCATCATACCTTAACTCAAACTTGAGAACATTTCCTCTTTTCCAACAAGTGGATCTACATGAGACTCACTCTTATGCCACAAGGCCTAGCAGACTAACCCAGAGAACATCTTAAAAGTATTTGCTTAATAAACAAAGACTGGAGCTGGGCATGGTGATGCCTGTAATTCCAGTACTCCATAGGTTGAGGTAGGAGGATTGCCATGAGTTTGATGATAGCCTGAGCTACACACACACACACACATAGGAAGACTGCATGGAATCCACCTCTGATATAAATTATAGTAAACACTGGCCATAGTTGGCAATGGTGGTATCTTTTGCTATTACCAGCCCAATTGTGTCTAGAGGTATGTCATGTGATTCAAGGACACTGAACTTTGTTACATTGGGGCCAAACCCTATTACCTCTGAACCTCCTCCCAACTCCTGATGTTCCCACTATAGTGGTTCCCAGTGAGAACTCCCACAGGGGCAGATTCACATGCATTCCACTAGGGCTAGACCAGATGGAAATTCTCCCCCCACCCCACCCAATGCCCTGGTCCTTACACATGTTGCAGGAATACCGCAAAGAATATCATTACAAACAAAAAGCAGGGTGGCCAGGGATATGGCTGAGTGGCATAAGTGCCTGCCAGGTAAGTGCAAGATCTGAGTTTGATCCCCAGTACTATAAAAAAAAAAAAGTTGTCTTCCTTTCTTACTGCTGAGACCAAAACATCTAACACCCAAAGTTAGAGGAAAGGTTTACTGTGGCTCAGTTTATATATAAAGGTCTCAGTCTATAGTCAGCTGGCTTCAAGGGAGGGTGGCATGGCAAAAGACAAATAGTTCATGGTAAAGCAGGACAGGCAGAAGACAGCCAAGCAGCAACTGCCAGCAGCAGCAAGAAAGCCTGTCTTAAAAATTTCATTCAACCTGCCCTGCGACCCAACCCAAGGATGGGGCACCCTGAATCCTGGCATTACACCCTGTATCTAGCCAGCTCTGAGAAGCCCCACCCATTAGTGCATGAGGCTTTCAGAGAACACCTAGATTCAAAGCATGACAAGGGTGCACATGTGTGCCTTTTTTTTTTTGTAGAAGAAAATGAGAAAACATTTCTGTGATGTTACATGAAAAAACACTAGAATAGGGGGCCGGGGATTTAGCTCAGCGGCATAAGCGCCTGCCTTGCAAGCGCATGGTCGTGACTTTGATCCCTGGTACTGGTAAAAAAAAAAAAAAAAAAAAAAGAAACACTAGAAAAGACAATATGAACCACCACAGTGGGTGGAAAATGGAAGCCCGTATCTGAGCACTCCTGTGTATCTCTAAAAGTGTCCCACTACGGAGTTCAGGCTGGCCTCTAAACCAGTGATCCTCCTGCGTCAGCCACGTGCTAGGATTACAGGCCTGCACCACCATGCCCAGCCTTTGATTTTAACCCTGTGAACAAAACTGTCTTGAAACATGTAACCCACAAGGAGTCTGTGCACCTCAGGACCCATCTAGTCATCACATGCACACTTCCCCACCTCCCATTCAAGACTGCTTGAGAGGCAAAGTTGGACACAGCAGCCCAAACATCCTTCCCTGTGACAGCTGTTGGGACCTCAACCTCCAGCCTACACTGGTTGTTGCCTCTGCTCTCTGGACCTAACCCATAGGCCACCCCGGGAGAGGGCCTCACCTGTGTCATCTTAGCACTTCTGACTTAAGCAACTTCCAAACTTGCCTTGTTCATTTTAGAACTTTGGGTTTTAGTTACCATTTTTATATCAAATAGCCTCCTCAACTGTAAAACAAGTATCTTCAAAGAAATCTTGTGACCATGGGGTTTCACACCTCTGTCTATGGCTCTCACATTGGTGGCCTAAGGACCAGGATCCTCTCCTTTCCATTACCCACTTCAATCTGATGAGATCCTTGAATTGAGATGTAACCCAGCATCATAGTAAGGGTCAACACAACCTTTCCTATGTCAGTGGTCTATGCAACAACAGCTCAACAGTAACTGAACTAGATGTTCCCAGTGGCAGGGAGTTCCTCTCAGTAGGGTAAATCTTAAGTAGTTGGCAAGTCCCTCAATGCTGGATCAAAGAAGACACTGCAGGCTTCTAAAAAATGGGCTTCATGGGGCTTCTTCACAGATGCCACCTTATTCTCCTACCTTCACAGCATCACACATTTGCAGTTTGTGACTGGCCCTTGCCTGCCTCCCAAAATGCTGTGGGCTTATGACAAGAAGGACTTATGTACTGGTTTCCTTACCACTTTTATCAAATCCTAAAGACACATCCAATAAGCATATGTGGATTTTTCCCCAAAAGAATGCTTTATTGACAAATTGCCCATTTATTCATTTTAGAAAGATGTATCAATGACCTATTCCTGCAACTGCAACCTGCCTTATCATACCCTACGGCAGTTAACCATAGAAAAAGAACATTAAGGGCTCACCGCCAGCCCCTGCATCCTCATTGTGCTTGCTGTGCAGCCCTACGGGTATCCAAAGTGGCCAGGGATCCTTGGTCATCAGAGGACACATATCCTACCAAAGTGGACAGTGAGCAGTTCCTTCCGCTTCCAAGATGCAAACACATGCACACAGCACGCAAGGTCTTGGTGCCTTGCTAAGAGCCACTAAGGCACACAGCTGCCCCTCCAGACATGTCTGACACACGGGACCCCAGTGTGAGAGGGGCTACCAGGGTGTGGCAGTTTGAAAATGAAACATCTGTAGCTCCTGAGAAAAGGTAGCAGCAGAGTTCTAGCTGATCCCAAGCCCCATTTCCAACATGATCTGCAGGGCTGGTGGTGCTTCTCCTGCAACCTGTGAGCAAGCAGGCAGGCTGGGCCACGCCTCAGCCAGTCAGTGCTATGCAGAGGCACATCTTGTTCAACGGTGTTAAAATCAGAGGGTTTCTTTCTCTCTGCCCCTCCTGCCCTCAGAGACCCAAAAGCTGCCTGTGCTAGAGTAGGGAGCCAGAGGAAATGCCAGTCTTTGTGAGAATCAAGTTCTTCATACTAGAAGGTGCCACTTAGATAAGCATACTAATTGGTCAGGCCAATTACATGGACCAGATACGACATGGACCAGATGCAAAACTGTACACAATGCTCAGAATCTATTACAGAACATATATGTATAGCATAAGGCGATGTAAGGCTTGAATTTCAGCTTGAGTCTAAAGAATATTCTCTAATGATAAGGCTAAAGCTGCTTTGCCAAATTTTAATTTTTGAGGAGTCCACTGCATTTAAAAAATAGTAAATCTGCTTGTCAAATTAGTGTAACAACTAGGCAGCTGCTGACAATGTTTCTGAGGTCTCAGAAAATGGACAATTCTCTTATTCAGCATCTCCTGGCAAAAACTGGGCTCTGGCAGTGCATTCTTGGTGAACATACGCTACCTGTGAGTTCAGGAAACAGGAGGGGAGGCCAGAAAATGTTGCTTGTTTCATATTCTTATGTGTCTTCTTCCTGCTAAGTTCTGGGGAGCTATCAAAATTCCCAAGAGGGGCATAATTTTGGGCCTATTACTCCCCAGACCCTCCACCCTGTCCATTTCCTGTGGCCCTGAAAAGGACAGCACAGTGATCTGCTTCACCTATGAACTTTTAGTGTAAAACATTTATATACAGGATTGTTTTCTAACTCTTGCGAAGGCAGCGGTCACATCTGCACGTGAAGGAGCATGATTGCCCTCAAAACCAACTGTTCAGTCGTCCCAGCTGGTGGCTCCATTGCGCAGAGTTGTAGCTGTGATGATGAAGGTGTGCTTGCACCTGTTCCATGGCTTGGCGACACTATCGCAGGTTTAGAAAGGTGAGTGATCTGGCAGGGGTGGGTCAGCACTCCCCGCTGGGGAACAGATGCTGTCACTGCCATTCTCTCTGCCGCCCACAACCTTAGACTACAAAGAAAAAGATCAAGAAAGCAAAACCTGAGACATAGAGGACATGCATGGTAAGTCCTAGATTTAGTTCAACTCTCTACATAAGCTTACGTAATACAAAAAAATACTCAGCAGGCTGAGGTAGGAAGATTGCAAGTTCTAGCCACCCCACACAACTTCGCAAGACTATTTCAAAATATAAAAACGGTTACTCCACACAGATGGCCTAGGTTCAGTCTGCAGGGTGGAATGGGAGAGAAGGAAGAGAGGAGGACAGGGAAAGCAAGAGCAGTTAGTCCAGCAAGAAACAAAGGAATAGGTCACCTCACCGACAGGCAAAGGAATGGGTAGGTCCCCAGGAAATTATATAGCGTGGTAGAGGCCAATCCCAAAAGGCTACATGCTGCTCAGCATGGTGGTCCACACCGCCTGGGGTCAGCATTCAGGAGGAAGGCTGAAGCAGCACCACACAGTGAGTTCAAGGCCAGCCTGAACTACAGAGCAAGACTCTGTCAAAAAAAAAAAAAAAAAAAGGACTATATACTACTATATGCCCACTATGTGACACTTTTGAAGTGTCAAAATTCTAGAGACAGAGAAAAGGTTGGCAAAGTAGGAGCAGGAGAAGGTAGATATGTCATAAGAACCACAGAGTGATTTTGATGGGTACGGAAGTCCGCCTTTATGCCCTGTTTAGGAGACTGTACAAGATGTGAACACTGCACTAAAGCCCATAAAAGGTACAAGACATTTCTCTAAATAGCTTCCTACAGTAAGCCTGCAATAAATGGAAAGTGACATGATATGTGACACCTACAGAGAACTAACAGCATAGGAACAATTACCTTTATGGTCCCCACTCGGTCTTCAAATGACTTGAAGGTGGCAGAGTTCCTTTAAAGAGAAAGGGCAGAGGTATAAGTGTGAAGAGCAACCTCAGGGATACCCTCTTCGATCTGAAGGGCTTCAGATCCAGGTTCTTACCAGGAGCCCAGTCAGCATCCAGGGACTCCCCAGGTCAGATGCCTGCCAATGAGTCAGGCTCAGACATCATACTGAGGCACTACAAATCCTGAATGCTTGGCACACTCCTGCCACACTTTAAATGTATCCCCTGGAACCCTGGTATGGTGGCACATACTTATAATCCCCTTACTCAAGAGGGTGAAGCAGAAGAATCTCTAGTTTGAAGACACTAGGAGTTACAAAGCCCATGTCTCAATCCCTACCCCAGCCAACACACCCTTGGCTTTCTGCACTAAGGCTGTGGGAAGTCCTGGAGTCCTTCACTCACATCTCTTACAGAAGCAGTTCTGGAGGGGTAAGGTAGCAGAGGAGAAAATAGGCCAGTCCCCATCCCATGGCTTCACACAATCAGATCTCTAAGACTCCCTTGATGCACCAGGCATGGTGGCACACACCTGTAATCCCAGCACTTGGGAGGCTAAGGCAGGAAGATCAACACAAATTTGAGGCCTGCCTGGGCTACACAGCAAGACTCTGTCTCAAGAAGAAACAAACAAACAAAAAAGATTCTCCTGATAAAAATGGGTCGTGCTGAGCCATGCTGTGCCTGACCAAGCAGATGAGACCAACAGACCATGCTGCAGGTGCTCCTGGAGAATCCTTAAGAAAAATGAAGCCTCCAGAGAAGCTTCTTGCAGGGGTGCCACTGTCTATGACAGCTTTACCACCTTCTGCCTACTGACCCTGCAAGGAGCCAGGGCCAGAACCTGGGAATTTCAGGATAGAGCCCAGTTTGGCAGAATGGACTCCTCTAGAGCAAGGGTCCCCAACCTTTGGGACACAGACCAGTGCCATTCTGTGGCCTGTTAAGAACTAGGCAGGCAGGCAGGCAAGCGAAGCTTCATCCAAATTTACAGCTGTTCTCTGATCCCTGGCACCAAAAAGGTTGGGGACTACTGCTCAAGAGGCCTCAGGATAGAAGCCTCAGTTCCATGAGTTCTTCCTCACCAGTCTAAAGGGGTCTTTTCTAGTCCTCAGCCAACAGGAAGCTGCCAGGGAATGGTATACTGCATTTGGGGATATAAGAAATACAAGGTGTAATTGATGGATGCTGCCCTGCCCCCACCCAGAGACACCATAGCTCTGAAGCAACAGGGAACAAGCGTACTTTACCTCATGACTGGCATACTTATCGAGTGGCGGATGGAGTAGCTGCTGCTTGGAAGCATGGTAGAAGCAGAGAGGGAAGCAAGTTAGCACAGGCTTCAGACTGGCAGGCACTCGCTGGCCTGGCTCACAAGTAAACCAACTTTGCAGGGTAGAAGAGGGACCCTACTTCAAGCAGAATTGGAATGAGCCCACTCTACATAATGCCAGAAGAAAATCAACTTAAGGTACCTCTCTCCCAGATCCATAAAGGTAGCCAAGGCCACCTGGTAGAGTGCCACCGCCACAGTAGAACAGTAAAACAATAATATGTAAGGAATTCTACATATGGGGTTTTTTCTTTTTCTTTCTTTCTTTTTTTTTTTTTTTTTTTTTTTTTTGTCTTTTTCATTTTTATCGGTACCGGAGATCGAACTCATGACGGTCTGCTTGCAAGGCAGGCGCTTATGCCGCTGAGCTAAATCCCCAGCCTACATATGGGGTTTTTAAAATCATTTGCTCCATGGAAGTTTCAGGTATCTTCACATCAAGGTAACTCATTTTGTGGCAAAAGAGAAGCACTCAGGTCAAGTAAAATGTCAATGAAAGCCTTGGGTCCAGCTGCAGTGTACAGTGGTGCATAAACATCTTTATTGCCCAAAAAGTGTATTTTGTCAGCACAAGGGAATGGTACCCTGGAGAGGAATATCTATGAAAGAGCTTTCCACTAATAAATGAAACAAAACTCAGCCTAAGGGACAGGACTGCTTCACAGGGAGCAAGGAAACAGGATCCACTTTTGAAAGGGTGAAGAAAGTTGGGCATAGTGGGACACACCTGTAATCCCAGCACTCAGAGGCAGAGGCAGGAGGATCATTCTGAGTTCAAAACCAGCCTGGCTATAAAGTGAGCTGAAGGCCAGCCTGGACTGAACTGCACAGTGAGACCCTTTCTCAAAAATACAAAAAAGAAAAAAAAAAAAGAAAAGAAAAGAATAAAGAAAGAAAGCCAAGCATAGTAGCACATGCCTGTAATCCTAGCGCTCAGGAGGCTAAGGCAGGAAGATCATTGCAAATTGAAGACCAGCCTGGGTTACAAAACCCTATTTCAAAAAGACCAAAATAAATAAATAAATAAATAAGTAAATAAAAACAAAAACAAACCACCAACAAAGAAAGAAAGAAAGGGTGAAGAAGAGCAAGAAAGCAGGCATCATCCCTCTATGTCAAGTGATTCTTTTTGGGAATAAACCTAAGTACGGATGCTGTGATGCATTTACTGCATGAGCCCGGGTCACCCACTGGCTACCCCAAGAACAGGCAGCCAAAGGAACCCAAGTGTGAAATAAACAGAGGACAACGTGTCAGGGAGACCTGGGAGAAGTCTCTGCATGGCAAGTTGCTGGCCAACAGCCTTCAAAGCAGTGACAACACAGTAGGTGCTATCCCATGAAGGGGGCTCTCCCACGGCTCCACCCACATACATCCACCCAGTACAGTCTCCCAAGGGCCCCACCAGAATCTATCCTGTCCTGATTCAGAAACAAACCTTCCACAAGGGTGTCCAGGGTCAGTCTTACCTAAAGGAGTGTGAGAATGGATGAGCCCTGAAAGTGGCAGCAGGAAAAGAAGAAAGCCAGTGTTAAGTAAGGGAGGCTAATGCCAACCACAATCCCCATGGCAGCCCCAGGCCCTTCTGCTCAAGCACCAGAAGGCCAAGCAAGGACAGTGTATGGAAAGGAACTCCATGGCTGCTCCTGTCGTTCTTACACGACCAGGAACAGCACGACACACGGCCAGTCCTGGCTCTATGAGGCTCCTAAGAATACCTCCCAGTACTGTGGTCCCCATGTATGACAGGCTCCTGTGCCTACACCCTGTTTGGAGCTTTTGAAGACAAAAAGAGGACCAAAGACAATTCTAGAAGAAAAGGGGCCCTGTGAACAGCACAAAGGCTTGAAATGAGCCAGTAAGATTGGGCCAATACTCCACATCCAGAGTAGCCTTGTTCTCCAAGCTGAGTTGAAACACAAGCACCATAAGAGATGAGGAACACCCTCAGGGCCACGCACTTCTGCTTTGAGTTCTAGCTCCACACACAGAGGGTGCCCAGGAAATGTGTAGTATGAGGGGAGCTGTTGGACTGGGGACAACGGAGCTGGCCACTCCTCCATGGTGCAACTGGGCCCCATGTTTGTTCGTTTGCTTTTTGTTTTTTGTCTTTTTCCTTTTTATCGGTACCAGGGATCAAACTCACAACTAGCTGCTTGCAAGGCAGATGCTTATGCCGCTGAGCTAAATCCCCAGCCCCCGGGCCCTCCACTTCTAACACACTAGAAGCCAAAACAGGTCATTCCCAATAAGGACAGAACAACTGAAGATGGTGAACCTAGCAGAAACCACTCTCTGGCTCCCATACAGTTTTCCCCTCTCCCCCTCCATCTTCTCAGGTCCTAGGGCACACCAGAGGCTATGGGGCCAGGGATGCCCCCGGACAGGCCCACTGTGGACAGAGCTATCCGGCACAAGGCCTGGACTTAGGTCAAAAAGAGCCTATAAGGGGCTGCACACTCCTAAACTCATGTTGTCAGCTACCTAAGACTCCCTCTCACTCCAGAAAGACCCAAGCTCTCAGCCTCAGTCTGTAACCCAGGAGGCCTTAGAAACCACAGAAACCACCTCTGACCACCTGGTGAAATGACAGAGATCTGGCCAGGTGTAGTTGCATGCAACTGTAATCCCAGCACTCAGGAGGCCGAGGAAGGAGGATTGCTTGAATTTGAGACCAGCATGGGCTACTTGTGAGTTCAAGACTAGCCTGAACTACATAGCAAGACTCTGTCTCAAAAAAAACAAAAAAGAAAAGAAATGACAAGGATCATCAAGGCCTTGAGAGTTTAGAGGTCACAACACCATTAGAAACACCAACAGAAGTGCCCTGAGAAGGAAGACACAACAGCAAATAGGGCACATTTGGGTACCTTGGTCGCAAACAGCCAAATGCAGAGATGGTTCCTCTGACTCTGCCCTGAGGCCAGGGCCACAGCAGCATGTGCCAGGGACCCTGCTTGCTGCCTACTACAGCTTGGAGGCCACATACCAGAAGGGCTGCAGCAAACCCCAGTTCTCAGACAACACATGCTTTATTCCTTGTCACAGAAGTAGCAACAAAGAAACATGTTTCCACAAAAAGGCAGGTCCATAAAAACTGCCCTATTCCAGCAGCCAGGACTGAGCCATGAAAGAGGGCCACACACAGGGACCCCCCAGCCTTTGGGAACACAGCCAAAGCCTGTGAAAAGGCACATGTGGGAGACACAACTGAAGAACGTTCATAGGGTATTTCCAGGGGTCAGAAACTGTTCAAAACAGAGACCTGGGGGTAAGGGGTAGATGGCCTCAAACAAAAAAGAAAAACAACTCCAGGGCAAAAGCTATCACTTAAGGGCAGACTAATATGTCCTCACCTCTGGCTCAGCAATCAAAAGGTAGACAGCAGCAAACAGAAGGACTTCCCCAACCCAGCCAAGGTCCAGCAGTTGGTACAGCCACACTCACTCTGTGCACCTGAGTCCCAGCTCGAGGATGGCTTCTCTGAGCCTCCAGTTCCTCAGCATGCAAGCCCAGTCAGGCTAAGGTCTCACCTCATGTCTCCGAGCTTCCTGCTAATGGCAGAGCCCATGGTGGACAAGGCAGCAGATGTCTTCTGTCCTGCCTGAGAGAGTGTTTCCTGTGTCTTCCTGTAGCTGAGAAAAAGGCACGCCAGTTAAGACTAACCAAGTAGCACAACTAGGCACAACCCCCTGCCCAGGAAACAAAGTGCAAGAGAGCACCCAAGGAAAGGTGAGGAGTCTGCTGGGTAACGGGCACTGCCTGGGCTGCTACGGAGGGGCAGTGCACGGGCAGTGTAGACTCAGCATGCTTCCACTAGAGTCACAATCCCCCAACTCTGAGATGAATTTCTTCCTCCTATAGTTCAGACAATGTATCTCTCCCTCACCTGAAATTTAGCACTCTTATCTTACCCTAGGAAAAGCAATGCCTATGAAATACAGAGAAAACAGCCCAAGAAGGTCTGGTTTCATGCCTGGATAGGCAGCGCTAGAATACCAGAAGCCGAAAGTTAGTCCTCAGCTCCTTACTGACACGGCCAACGCAGACTCAAAGCTTCCCTTTCCTTCTCTCATGTAAGAGTCTTCCAAGTGGTAGAAACGCAAGCTTAACCACAGCCTTGGGAGTACCTGTCATCTGTGGGGTGGGTGCCTTTTCCAGACAAGTACCCTCACCCTCCAGCACTATCTGCACAATGTCCTTTTAGAACACGGGACCATCCTGCTCTCATGCCCCCGTTACACAGTGCAGGAGTAAGGTCTTGACCCAATGCAAAGACTGCCACTCCAGTATCCCAACCTACCCCTCCAGTGCCAACCCCTCTGTGGGCATATTTCAGAGACCTTGCTGTATAACCTCAATATCAGCAGAACATGTACAGGTAGGACGTGGTGGTCAAAGGGATGCTCTTGGGCCTGATCTAAGAATCAACATATGAGGCTGCCAGCTCTTGCCCAGCTGTCACCACAAATGAAAGATATGGCAACCTCCAACATGACAAAGCCCATCACCAAAACTCATGTTAAAAGCATTCTGGCCAAAATTTCTTACTCAGGAAAGCCAGGGAACCTGAGGTCAAGTCAAGGGCAGACAAGACTTCCAAGGCTATGTGACACTGTCAGGCTAAAAATGTTTTTCCCTGAGCTGGGCGTGGTGGCTTACGCCTGTAATCCCAGCACTTGAGAGGCTGAGGTGGGAGGATCATTGTGAGTTCCAGACCAGCCTGGGCTACAAAGTGAGCACAAGGCCAGCCTGAACTGCATAGCGAGACCCCATCTCAAAAAAAAAAAAAAAAAAAAATGTTCTTCCCCAAAACCCTGGCTACGCTGAAGTTCAAGATCTGCCTCCCAGGGAAATGCCCCATTAGTGCCTCCAGGTTGCAGGACCACAACAATCCTTCAGAGCGTGGTCCAATGAAGGCATTGAATCTGCCTTTATTCGGACAGAGATCCAATGAAGGCACACCCACTGCCCTCCAGGACCCTCCCACTGACCACTACCTTGCAGATGAGAGTATGACCATACACATGGCCCATGAAGAAGATGGGTATCCTTCTCCTGGCACTAGCCAGCAGACTCTGCCAGAACCTCATCCAAGGCCTAACTACCTGGCACACTTTCCTGCCAGAGCAAGGGAAGCAAGGTTAACTGCAAGCCCCAAATGGTATCATGTAGAGACAACTAAGAACCAACAACATTTAGTTGCAGTAATACAAATTCAGGACACATCTCCAATCTCAATTTTCCCTGAAAAATATACAAAACAACATTCTGTGGTTTGCTGAAGTAAAATAAGCTGAAGCCGATGATTTAAACAAAAATCCTGGGGCCAGAGGTGTGACTCAGTAATAGAGCACACCCTGGGTTCAACAATACCAGTACCACCAAAAAAGAGGGAGAAGAAAGGAAAAACAAGAAATAGAGAAGAGAGGAGAGGAGAGGAGAGGAGAGGAGAGGGCCTCATGAAATCTGTGTGCTCAAAGGGTGAGGTTGTGGAAACTGACTGCACAGAAAGATCCAGGCAAGCAGCTGGTCCCCAGCACTGTGAGCCACAACTTACGCCCAGAAGCCCCAGCCTACAGCATTTCTGGGCATGTGAGAAGGTGCACAAAGGAGTCACATTCAGAAATGGAAACACTGAAGCTGGATGCCCAAAGAAGCTGGCATCTCCTGCATAAGATGACCTAATGACAGGCCCTACCCACTCTCTAATGCTGGCCTCTGCTTTCTCGAGCTGAGGCTTACCCTGGGGCTCTGCCACTTCCATGGACTCATGCTACAGCCCTACTCCCACTCTCTGGTAACCTAGAGGGCAGAGTTATTATCACTACTGGACATACAACAAGCTAAGAATAGGGAGCATAATCAGAAAGCTGCTTTGGAAACCCCAAACTGTGCCACCCTAGCCAGTTCCTTTTTGACAGTTTACTTAGTAGACCTTTTGGGACAAAAGCCCAGGACAGACAAGAGCTTCCTCCCACCCTCAGCAAGCATGTCCAACAGCCAGTGTGCAGATCTGACACTTGTGCTTTTCCTGCCTCTCCTCTGGACCCTTCCTTGTAGGGAAGCTCCCCATCCCCACACAAGCTGATACCCTAAGGATATCAGCTCCCTGGCTGCAAAAACTAGTCTAGTGAGATCCACACCTGGGCCACTCTGTTTTTCATCTGCAAAGTTGTAAGGTGGGGCTTCTCTGCCACGTGAGTCCTCCCACCTCCCTCTTTGGTTGATGTTGCTTCTCTTTAGCTATGTTACTTGCAGTCCAAAGAACTCAAAGCGTACCAAATAGTAAATACAGTTTGGTCCACTCTTAGCAATGGGTTTTCAGCTAGTTCTACCTGTAAGAGAAACATAACGTGATGGTTTCACAACCCTCAGACCATGCCTTGTCTCACACAGAGCAGTGACAAGGGTACGAGTAGCATCTCAGCAGTGCAAGCACAGTGCAGCTTCCAGAGGGCCAAGTCCACAGGTGCAGACATTCACACAGGATCCTGAGCCCTGTCCCTGACATCAGGGTGCTGTCAAAGGATCTACAAACCCTTGGATCAGGGAAGTCAATAAGCTCCTCTTCATTACCCACCCTTACAAAAGTTCCAGAGAGTCAAATCCTATAGCAGCCTATCTTCTGAAGCTGGGCAGGACCGTCACCAACCAGACAGAGGACCCTGAGTAGCCAACACCCTTGGCATCACTTGCAAGCCTGTCTCCTGGGCTGTCAGTACAGAAAAGCCTCTGCTTCTAAAACCCTCACTGTGACAGCTTACACCAAGAGCTGGCATGAGAGTTCAAAGGAACAGTCTCTGCAGAAGAAGTCCTGGAAAAAGCCAATCCACCAGCCATACTTCCACATTAAGCCACAGGTTTCTCTCCAAGGGATCAGAATTCTACATGTCCTAAGCTTTTTGGGGACTATTTGAGATTGTACCCCAGCAGCCCTTTGTCAGGAGGCTTCATACATACAACAGGACTAAAGTCTTTTGAGACATATATATATATACCTGGGGAAGAGGGTTCTGGAGACTGAGTGCCAGGGTATATTCCTAGCACTCTCTCCTGTATTTTTCATTTTGAGATACTGTCAGTAAATTATGAAGTTGTCCAGATTGAGCTCCTGCTTCAGCCTCCTAGAGTGCTCAGATGACAAATGTATGCCACCGTGCCCAGATTCCTGGGACTATCTGTAGACTTGGTCTACACTGTGAGCCTGCCCAGAACCCTACCTACACTGAAATGCTGTTTCACACAAGGAACATCTGCTCCTAGCAAAGTTACTGTCCAGTCCATCCATAAAGACATCCCACCAGTGCTCCTACAGTACCTAGGGCAACAGCTGGCTAATGAACTAAGACACACAAACTGCCAGTTTCCCTAAGACAGCTTCCCATGTGACATCAGACCCCAAAGATCCATGGGCACAGTAAGCAAGACTGTTTCTGAGCACCATCAAAACAAACTTAGCAGCAACATTTCCTTCTAACCCAAACACAGGAGGAACCTCTGCCTGTGCTTTACAGCAACATAACACTTCTTTCTAAACAAGAAATGGAAAGGTCTCACAAAGAAACTGTATCTAATACCCCTCTACCCAGTTGAGACATTACAATCAGATAGAAATATAAAGATGCTATTATCTAGATCAAGGATTTAGCAGAAGTCACTCTGAACTACAGCTTGGCAGATACACAAAGCTGTGCACACATCAATTGTACTCTGCTGACGTCCCCACAGCTGCTGTACAGTGCCTCACAGACTGCAGGATACCTTTCAGCCCACAAGCATAACTTCCCCAAAATCCCAGCACAAGCAGTAAGACCCCCAAAACTGGAACTGAGTCTGCAGGAAAGAGGACAATGACAACAAAAAACTTGCCACCAGTAAAGATAAGGTGCTTGGGCCACTATTCAAAGCCCAGAAATACCTTCCAGGCAGATGCTGCCTGAGCCCAGCTCGGGCTCCTCACTGAAGGCTCCTTGGACAGGCAGAGAACTTTAAGCAGGGTCTGGTGGTTGTCCTTCAGCTACGCCCCTTGTCCCATAGGAGTTTATTTGTACTTGGGAGGAGAAAAATTGCTAGCAAATACCGAAATGCAGTTGGTGCCAAACATGTACATCTCCTCTGTCCCCAGGGAAAGCTGGGAGGAGGAGAATCAGAAGAAAGAGGTGCCATGTACTAAATTAAAATCTAAATGGGTCAAAGATCTGAATATTAAAACAGAAACACTAAATCTATTGGAAGACAAATTAGGTAGAAACCTTGGAGACATAGGAGTAGGTAAAGAATTCATGAACAGGACTCAAACTGCACGGGAAATACTTCCCAGAATCAATAACTGGGACCACTTCTTATTAAAAAGTTTCTGCATGTTAAAAGAAATCTGCAGCATAGTGAAAAGAAAACCCACAAACTGGGAAAAGATTTTAGTGAACTCTCTCTCAGACAAGGGCCTCTTGTCTAAAACATATAAAGAATTAAAGAAACTCAGACCTCCAAAATTCAAAGATCCAATCCAAAAATGGGCATCTGAGATGAATACCCAATTCTCAGATGAAGAAATGCAAATGGCAAATAAATACATGAAAAAATGCTCATCATCATTGGTCATTAGAGAAATGCAAATTAAAACCACACTGAGATACCATCTCACTCCTGAAAGAATGGCCAGGATCAAGAAAACCGACAACAAATGCTGGAGAGGCTGTGGGGAAAAGGGAACTCTCCTGCACTGCTGGTGGGAGTGTAGACTGGTACAGCCTTTGTGGAGATCTGTCTGGAGATTTCTCAAAAAGTTGGGACTGGAAGTCCCATTTATTCCAGCTATTCCACTTCTAGGCATATTCCCAGAAGAACTGAAAGCATCACACCACAGTGATATATGTGCACCTATGTTTATAGCAGCACAATTTGTAATCGCCAGATCATGGAAACAACCCAAGTGTCCATCAACTGAGGAATGGATAAAAAAGTTGTGGTATTTCTATACAATGGAGTATTATTCAGCTATAAAGAAGGATCACATTGAGATATTTATCAATAAATGGGCGCAGCTTGAGACCATACTCATAAGTGAAATAAATCAATCTCGCATGTGTGAATACCGAATAGTTTCCCTAATGTAAGTAATGATTCAAATATATAAAAATATGTGGTAATCATGATTCCCCATTAGGTGGCCTTGGAGCCTTATAAAGTTTTCACTCATTAATTAGAAAGGCTTTATTCTGGGCTTCTTGATTTGAAAATATTTGAAGCTAGAGTATATGAAGTTTTATCCAAATATTTCAAGGAAAAAGACACTATGGTAACTACTATTAAGTCAGGTTATATGGTGGTGAAGTACTAGGTTGTTGAAACAGTCATGCTGTGACCTCTATTGTTATATTGTTATGTCCTGTTTTATCTCAATCTCCCCCTTATTGTTTTAAAAAAATTAGTCATTTCTTATGTTTGTCTTAATTAAAGAAAAAATTCAAATAATTAGGATATATAAATAATAACTCTTTTTGATTTCCTATTAACTTGTTTTGAAGTCCTGTAGTACTCCCACGATCTTGTTTTGACTGATTAGACTCTGTTCCATTCTATATGGTAGTATCAAGTTCGAAGACATAGGCAACTACTTTGAAGACAATAAGATTCACTAAGATACCCATTCTGGTTTGACTATTGTCTTCTTTGGAAGTCCTGTAATGTTTACAATGCCTAAGTTGTATTGGTCTTGTTCTCTACTGTTTTGTCCAACTTTATAATATCTAATGAGATAGACAATTCTTTTTAAGGAAACAAGGGACAACGTTGATAACCATAGTTGATAAACTTGTACTGTGTTCTACACCATGTGCTATGTCTATCCTTGGTATTGACTGACAGCTTTGTTTTGCCATATTTGACTGTATTCTCCCCCCCCCTCCCCAAAAGTAATAAGCACTAAGGAGTAATGAAATCCAAAGTGTGTGAATTTTGTTGTAAAAAAGAGAGGGGAAGAAAAAAAAAAGAGCTCTAACGGATATAACAGCAAGTGTGTTTAGGGGTGTTAAATAGCTGACTGTATCAATGTTTGTGGATCATTGAACACAGCTGTTTGCAGTCTACCTGTTTGAATGTCCACCTTGTATTCTTTGATGCTGTGATTTGAGGAACTATTTTCAAGATGATAATATGTAATATACTAACAGGTGATTTCTTACTGTTATGTTTTTTTTTTGTTTGTTTGTTTGTTTGCTTTGTTTTTGTTTTGTTTTGTTTTGTTTTGTTTTGTAGTTCTGTATTACGTGTACCCTTACACCGCTTTGGTTTGTTTTGTGTTTTTCTCTTTTTCCTCTTAAATAAAAAAAAAAAAAAAAAAAAAAAAGAAGAAAGAGGTGCCAATGGCACGGGCACTCACAGGTCAGATTGGGTCACTTTCTCATTCCACTCTCCAAGTTTCTCAGAAGTCTTCACATAGCTAAAAACAGAAAGTTTGTGGAAAGTATTTAGAATGACTTCAACTCAGGCTTCAAATTGTGAGATTCCAGAAGACACAAAGGAAGACGACCTGGCACAGATGCCAGGGACCAGCTGGGGCACCAGCTCTCCCATCACACCAAGGCTGTCTTCTGTTGGGAAGCAGTTTCTGGGGATCGGCGCTTCTGTGGGGAGACAGGGTGGTATAACCCACAGCCCCAAAATACTCTTGACAGTGACCTTTCAGAACCTAAAAGCCACAATGTACTAAGGAGGAATATGGATCTTCCACAGGTTTATGAACTGCAAGTCAGTCTGCTCTTCTTCAGGACTCGGTTTATGAAAATATCTCATCCTTCTACTTTGAAGGACATGTGTCAGAGGAACCAAGAAATTTAGAGCTACTTCCCAAATTCAGAGAACTGAACCCTGCATGGGTCAGAGGTCCTGAGAGTGACAGTGTAATGTTCATAAGGACTGCTGTCCATTTCAGCAGACCCAAAAGGTTGTTCTCATTGAAGACCTAACTGGTTGCCAGGTGTGGTGGTTCATGCCTATAATCCCAGCACCCAGGAGACTGAGGCAGGAGGATTATTGTGAGTTTGAGACCAGCCTGGGCTACAAAGTGAGCTCAAGACCAGCCTGAACTGCATAGTGAGACCATGTCTCAAAAAGACTAATAATAATTAATAAATAAATAAATGAAGACCTAACTGGTAAGGCCGGGCATGGTGGTGCACAACTGTAATCCCAGCACTTAGGAGGCTAAAGCAGGAGGATCACCACAAGTTTGAGGCCAGCCTGGGCTACACAGTGTGTTCCTGGCCAGTCAGGACTGCACACCAAGATCTTGTCACAAAAAAAATAAAAAAGACCTAACTGGTGCTCTTTCCAACCTGCATCCCAAAACACCACCTTCTTGCCAATTCCTGCCTGAACAACTAGCTTTGACCAGTGTAGACTCTATGCTCTGAGTAAACCTCAGGTACAGTCCCTACACAAGGATTGCAGGCCTCTGGCTACCTGCTCCCAAGCAGGCCCCACTCCACTGACAATGCTTATAAGATATTTCAACCAAAGCACTCACATTGTCCATCTGCAAAATACAGGCACAGCCCAGATGAGGGCTCTCTCCAATCAACAGGGTTGTGCCCAGGGTGGGGCTGGTACCTACGCGTTAGAGACCTGCACATCATGCCAGCTCTTAGACAGGTTCTGCTTCAGTTCCCCCAAGGCAGACAGGCCCAGCCTCCTTTTCAGCTCTCCACAGTGCCTCTCCTTGGCTGCCAGGACCTGGCGCAGGGTGATTATTTCTTCTTCTACCTGCAAAGCATGCAGTTGACAAAATGGGCCATCACTACTGTAGGAAGTGACCAACATTCTTATACATGCTGCAATCAAGTTTCTCAGAATTACTACCTAAGAAAAACCACAATTCATTTTAGGGACGGTGTACACAGCAGAAGCTGCTGTTCTGTCTGGCATCGGAATCCTGACTTCAGAACTACGCACTCCTCCATCCCCAGTGGTTTTGGTGGGGTTGCCTGATCCCTATGCCACTATCCCGAACTTCCCCAGCTGTCTATGGGCAGTCTCAGGGTTACCAGGTAAGGCCTGTCAGAGCCCTTCCCTGTCAGTGGCAATCAGGGAAGAAGCGCCTTTTCCCTCTGAATTCTGGGTCTGAGTTTAGACATAAAAGCTGAACTGCTGGCAGCCAGGCCCTACTGTAGCCATGGAGGAATATCCTATGCAGAGTTGACAAGAAAACAGATACCAAGAGACAGAAACAGCCCTTATGACATCTATGTTTGTGAGGTCAAAACTCCAGGCCTCAGTAAAACTTAGCTATGGCCAGGTGTTGTGGCATATGCTTGGAATCACAGCACTGAGGAGACTGAGGCAGGAAGATTGCCATGAGTTCAAGGTCAACTGGGCCTTAGTGAGTTCCAACCCAGCCTGAACTACATAGCAAGACCCTGTCTCCAAAAAATAAAAACAGAGAGTAAAAATAGCTGAAACAAGAAATAATCACCACAGGCTGGTCCAATGGCAGTGGGTTATCAGAACTGATTAACATTAGTGTCACTAAAGTTGGTATACCACCCCCCCCATTGCTAAATTTGACTGGCTTATTAAAAAAAAAAAAGAAAGAAAGAAATAATCACCACAGCTAAGCAAAACAACAGAAAACATGAATGACCAGGTTAGCAAAGAAAAAATCATCTAATCTATCACCAATCGTCCAGCAACTACAAGCAATGACCAGAATGCAGAACGTTCCTCTCTGAGTCCAATGACCAGCAGGGCTCAGAGATGTGGTCAGATGGTTTAGCAGTTCTGGGAAGTACACAAAATGATTTTTTTTTTTTTTCTGGTGGCACCGGCAACTGAACCAGGATCTTCACACTGAGCCATAATTCAGCTTTCTTTTCCCCCCTTTGGTACTGGGGATTGAACTCAGGATCTTGCATTTGCCAGGCAGGCACTTAACCCACTGAGCTATATTCCTGGCTCTATTTCTTGAAGCAGGGTCCCACTGAGTCTCCAGGGCTGGGTTTGAACTTGAAATCTACCCAGAGTGTAGGATTGTAGCAGTGTGATACCACGCACAGTGGCAAACTGAAAATTTTAAGTAACACAGAACTTGTTCACCTTGCAACTGAACTCTAAAAGAGACTCCATGGTTCCAATTTCTAACCTACATATTTGTAAACAAAAGCAAAGTCTCCTTGGACCTCTTGTTACTTTTGTTTAACCTTCTTGCTACTCAGAGGCAGCTATGAATGTTCTCACAGTCTAAAAGCTAGGAGGCTCAGTTACTCAACTCACTCTCCTCAGACGTTAAGTGTGAGCCCAAAATACTTACAACAGCATTGCAGGACTGGACACTGTGATACTTAGCATTAAACCCTATCACATGGCACAGTCAGTTTTGTAGGTTGCTTTAAATAAAAACTATGCTTTGATATATACAAAAGTTATTAACTATTTTACGCTCAAAGGATCTTAAAGATCACATGAACCAAGTTATCTTACCAAAAAAATTAAATAAAATTTAATTTTATTTAAATTTTTTGGTTTTTTTGGAACACGGTTTCGCTATGTAGCTCAGGCTGGCCTTGAACTCACAGCAATCCTCCTGCCTCAGCCTTCTGAATACTGGGATTACAGGCATGTGCTACCATACCTGGCTAAAACCATTATTTTTAAAAGAAAAATTAAGACCTAGGGAAGGCAAACTTGTAAGGTCCTGAAAACAACTTTAACTGTTAATTCCAAAGGAAAAAATCCCAGTTTAAGGCATGCTCAGAGAGGCCTTCACCGTGTGGATAGTCTTACAGTGGCTTCCATACAGGGTGGCACAAAGTGATTTCCCTGTAATGGGTGGGAACACAGAGCAGCAGGTGGATGACCCACAAAAGCAATTCCTCCAGAGCACAGGCAGTGGTCTGGTCCCTCATTAACCCAAGACAACTTTGAATCCTGGTCACCCAAAGACAGACCACAGCACCTTGGCAAGCTCAGTCCTGAGCTCCTCCTCTTCCACCTCTGTCAGACCCTCAACAGCAGGAGTCTGGGCAGCCACACCTGGGTCAACAGGGACATCAATCATGAAGTCAGGCAGCTGACCTTTGTTAGGAGAATTCAGGTTGATATCTGCCAGAGACAAAATGGTGTCAGAAAATGTTCATTAAATTTTCAGGAAATGGGTAGGATAGAGATTTCCCAGGAAGGAAGAAAGAGGTGGCTGGGAGAGGGTATGGAGGCAAGAAGAAGGCAATGGAGACCAGCACCACCTCCCAGACTCATGGACATGGTCTAGGCAGCTCTCTCTCAAACCCAATACCACCTGTACTGCTGGGGCACTAGAAATGCTAGCCAGGGTACGCAAACCCTAACTCTGGTTTCTCCTGTCAGACTACTATCTAAGGTAGAAAGTGCTTGCTACAAAGAGTACAGCCCAATCCAATAGAACTTCTATATTTTTAGAGCAAAGAAACTCAATATGGTGATCAACAGCACAAGCATCACCTTCTATTCCACTCCTCTGCCAGGGACATGCTAAAATTACATACAAGTAACATGTGCTAGTCATTCAGTCCTTACAAGAAGTCACCAAATAAAAATCCTCTTTAATCTCATCCTTGATCCTCATCCCAAGCCAGGAGACCGCCAGCATGTGCAGAGATGGAGAGGGAAACAAGGCCCCCACACACCTCTGTCACATCACATCAAGTTCAAATTCCTGCAGACATTATCTCTTCACATTAAGTGCATCTTCCTGTCTCCACTAAAAGCCTAGAAGGTATCACATGAAGAGAAACACTTTATCTCAATTCTGTCCAACACATGACTGCTTCTATCTACTGCGCATTAAAAATATCTCCCCTGTTGGGCATGGTGGCACCTGCCTATAATCCAGTACTTGGGAGTCTGAGGCAGGAGGATCACTGTGAATTCCAGACCAGGTGGATTACATAGGATTCAAGGCCAACCTGAATAGATGCTGAGACCCTTCTAAAACCAACAGGGGTCTGGAATTAGCTCAGTGGCACAGTGCCTGCCTGGCAAGCGTGAAGTCCTGAGTTTGATTCCTGGTGCCCCCCAAAAAATAAAAATAAAAACCACAACAAAAAATATTTTTCCTCTTTACCAGTGCCCTTTGTGAATAAAGAGGCTTCTAATGATGTCTATATGTTCCACAGTAAATTAAAATAAAAAACATGTAAAATGGAAAGAAGAAAAACTATCTTTTATTGCAGATAAGCTTGTCAACCATACAAATTCTGAAGATTCTACTAAATATAGATTACAGGGCAGAGATATAGCTCAGTGGCACAGTGCCTGCCTGGCAAGGGCAAGGTTGTGAGTTCAATTCCCAGTACCCCCCCCAAAAATATATTACATTGAAAATCAAAGTGCTCTACCTACAAGTTGCTGCTTGCATCTTACACTCTTTGAATGTTCTATACCCCTAGAGTTACATTTTTTGAGCATTCAATAGATGTTCAAGGAGAGTAGGGGAACAAAAAAAATTAAAACGTGTTATGTACATGCACCACCTCCCAACGATAAAGGTAATCATTAGCTACCAACATACTAATAAAAAAATGTTTACTAAATGAAGCATATAAACTTTTTTGGGGGGAGTACCGGGGATCAAGCTCAGGACTTCGCACTCGCCAGGCAGGTGCTTGTGCCGCGGGGCTATACCCCTGGCCCCCAACATATCTACTTTTAAAACAACCAATTTTAATTTTTTTTCTTTTTTTGGTACTGGGGATCAAACTCACAACCTCACGCTTGCCAGGCAGGCACTTGTGCTGCTGAGCTAAATCTCTGGCCCCAATTCTAATTTTTAACTGAGCCCAATCTACATGATTTTACTTCATTTCTATCCACTGTCAAAACTACTCAAATTTCAATGTCTTAAACAAATCTCTACAAATTTTCTTCTATAGCAAAACAAAAAAGGCTCTCAATCTCTGCCCATAAGGTTAAAACTGAATCCAACAAAAATCATACTCAGAAACTGGCCATTTACCAAACTGACATCAAGCAAGTTATGGTCACTCTGCAAGATACTAAACTCAACAAACTGTCGTGGATAAAAGCCATTCAGATCTTGAAGGGACTGTGGACAGAAAAAAAACTTACCAAAAGTACTACAGAGAGCTGGGTGTGGTGATGCATTCCTGTAATCTCAACACCAGGAGGCTAAGGCAGGAGGATCACCATGAGCCCAAGCTACACATTAATTCAACGTCAGCCTGACTACAGTACATAACAAGACCCTGTCTCAAAAACAAACAGGGTACAGGGTTTTCATGTGACCAAGCGCTACAAAGAATAAGTGTGGGGATGCACTACTGGCAAAAATAATGAATGAGGTACAGCCTTCACTCACCCCGGATGAGTCTCAATTATTGAAGACTACGCTCATCCGTAAAATGGGGGCAATACAAGAACCAACCTGAAAATGTTACCCTGAAATTACTGAAAATTCATCTGAGAAGCTTAGGTTAGTGTCCGGCACACAGCAAGTGCTCAGTGTTTTTCACTGTTATTATCAGAAACTAATGCTTTCAGTGCTTACCTAGATTAAATATGTAAGTAAAACAATAATGGGTTCCCTTCATTTATCACAACTGGAGACTTTTCTTCTTGGTACCAGGGATCGAACTCACAACCATGTGCTTACCAGACAAGCGCTTGAGCCACTGGGCTAAATCCTTGGCCCTCAGAACTTGAGACTTTTTTTTTTTTTTTTTTTTTTTGTCTTTTTTCATTTTTATCGGTACCAGGGATCAAACTCACGACTGCCTGCTTGCAAGGCAGGCGCTTATGCCGCTGAGCTAAATCCCCAGCTCCTGAACTTGAGACTTTTGATGCAATTTTTTTTTGATTCTTCCCTTGGTACTGGGGATTGAACTCACGGTCCCTGTACCACTGAACTACACTCCCAGCCCAATTTTATTGAGGCAGGATCTCACTAAATTGCCCATGCTGACCTGAATCCTTCTGCTTCAGTCTGAGTAACTGGAATTACGTGCAGATGCCACCGTGTCCAGTTCAACAGCCATCAACAGAAAAACTGCCAAGGGGGCTGGGGATTTAGCTCAGCGGCATAAGCGCCTGCCTTGCAAGCAGGCAGTCATGAGTTCGATCCCTGGTACCGATAAAAACGAAAAAGACGAAAAAAAAAAAAAAAGAGAGAGAGAGAGAGAAAGAAAGAAAAGAAAAACTGCCAAATATGGTGATGCATCCTAGAAATCCCAACTACTCTGGAAGCTGAGGCAGGTCTGCAAGTCCTAGGCCAGCCTTAGGCAAATTAGACTGTTTCAAAAATAAGACAGAAGTGTAGGTGAGTGGCAAGTGTTAGACCCTCAGTTCAATATTTAGTACCAAAAATAAACATTCCAGAATGTATGAGAACCCACAAACACTAATGCTTAATTATTACGTTGGTGCCAGTCAAATAGTAGGAGAGCTTCCTGAACTTACCCAGTGCGATTACGTCAATACAGGAATTCAGCAGCCCCTCTCTCGGAGAGCTCCAAAATGGAATGCAAAACTTGCACCGCCTTCCCAATACTTTAATCCAGGCCTGCTCACAACCCTCAGTGGCCACCTCCTCCCGTGGTGCCTGTTTCTGGAAACAGGCTGGTTTCCTGCTGGCTGTGCCTCTGACTCACTCCACCCTTTTCCCTATGATGCAACCCTAGTTTAGTCTACCAGCAGCGTTACCACCCAAGGGACGCTGCGCAGAACGCGAAAATGGTTTCACCTCCTTTGCCCAAACCGCCCAAACGCCTTGGCCCGGATCCACAGCGAGACAAAGTGTCCGCGAAAGGCCAGAGGGGAGCAGAGCCATCAAAGCCCGAATAAGGGTCAGTGACATGAGTTGCCTGAAGTTAGAAAACGCTCAATTCTAGGCACAGGAGAACACTGGAGGAAAGGGACCTCGGAGTTGGTCTCAGGGGAGGTCAGAAAACTGGAGTGAGGCCGAAGATGCATGATAGGACCATCATAAGCTTTGAAGTTCAGGCTATGCAAGCCAAAGAGGGGCCGCGGGAGGGCGGGCAGGCAATGAGGGACCTAGTGCTACTCCCGGGAGGGGCACTGTGCGGGGCCGGCCCAGCCTATCTGTGGCAGAGGCGCCGGGTACCTTGGCCGGGGGAGTCCATGTTCAGTCGGCGGCCCGGCTGCAGCCGACGTCAGAACGGGGCTTGACTGAGCTACACGAACCAAACAAGCAAGAACAGAAGCAGCCCGTAGAACAGACCGGAACCAGCGGAACTGCTCAGCCGCCGCAGCATTACGCAAACAGCGACGCGCCAGCCCACTTCCGCTCCAGCTCTTGCTCCGCCTCCGTCCAGCCTACAGAAGTGGCATCCAATGAGAGCGTCCTTTGGCCCGGGTTGGCCTTATCCATTCCAACCTGATAGGCCAAAACTGCAGGCGAAGCCGGAAGCGGAGGCTGGGGTCCGCCTCCCAGACTGGCTTTACCAGCAAGACGCACAGGTGGAAAGGCCAGACTAGCCGGAACCCCGGGCAAGTGGGAAGTGGGAGTGATCTCCAACTTGGCGCTACGTAAGGCCTGGAGCCTCAAGCTCCTTGGAAGTGTGTACCGTCTATCACTAGCGCTTCGGCCGCGCGCTTCTGCTGGCCGCTATCAGACGCTAAGAATCCCTCAAAGCCCGACCCCTCTCTTTGATGGTCACTCTCTTCCCATCCAAACCCCTGTAGGTTTTTTTGTTCGGTTTTTGTCTTTTTATGATAATGTTTTATTGTATGGCGTTACATAGAAAAAGATGAGATCGCGATTCGTCCTTTTGCCCTGCAGGCGCCGCTGCCCTCTGGCTGCTCCCAGGACCCCTAGTTCCACGCGTGTCTGCTCTGAGCTTCGCGCTGAGCCTAGTACGCCGAGTTCGCTCGGGCGTGTACACAGCGGTGAGCCCTCTCGCGTGCGTTCTCCTTAGTTTTGTGTGTGCACCTTGTGTTTTCTCATTTCCTTTTCACAGCAACCAGTAAGCACCAGTACTGTCGCCTTTGTCGTTTTACAAATAAGAAAACCAGCTAAAAAGTAACTTCCCCAAGATCACGCAGCTAACCAGGAATTTGGTAGACCCTTGAATAAAAGCCTGCCTGATGTCAAACAAGGGGGATGTAACCCCTTGGCATCTTGCCTCTCAAGACCCACAGCTTGTCCCTACTTGCTCCTGGAAGATCTTTAAGTGGTATTCATACCCTTTCAGATTTAATCTCCCCGTATTGTACTCCCCTTGCAGCCATTCCACTGCAGCTACTATTTCCAGGGCACAGAGGCCATTCACACTGCTCCTTCCTTCACCTGGCTTTCTTCCCCCAAAGGTCTTCCAGATACTTTTGTACAGGCCTACATATGGCCAATATGTCGTTGCCACTTGCCATCTTGCTGACCCCAATCTGCCCAGCCCCTATCCAAAAGAGTTGTGAATGACAGGGACAGACAGTGCTGCTTCCTGAAGTGACTGCATTACAGATGGTGAGCAGGAGCTTGGCCTCATTCTCTGTTGTATTCCTGAGCTATGAACAAGCCCAGGCCTGGGCCCAAGAGGATGCCCAGTAATGAAAAGTCAGTGCAGGTGTTTCTAAGCCTCATGGTGCCCTGCACATCAAATCTGCAGTCTGTCTGCAAACTCCCCTCTGTACAGAATATGGATATGAAAAGGGGACCCTAAAGAGCAACTGGGAACAGTCTTGAGCTAAGACTTTAGGGCTCCAATGGCTTTTCACAGCTAGAGACAACTTGTACACTTGAACCCAGCTGGCAACCTCTTCCCTCTCCCTGAAAACCAGGCTGGGTGAAGGGCGCCTCCCTGTGGCCCCACAGCCCATTCCCAACAGCCTTTTGCAATGATCGATCACCCATCACACAGTATTACCATAAACTGGGCCAAGTTCATCTTTGCATTCCCTTTGGGAACTGGGAGCTGTTGTCCAAAAGTGTTTGCAGGAAGGAAGGAAGGTCAGAGCAGGGAAGACCAAAAGGAAGATCTGAATGCCCTTGTGAAGGATGACCATGGACCAGATATACTGCCTACCCTCCTTAGACACCAGGTCAGGATACTGGGCAGGACTAGCTTTTCTGGTTGGGGTTGTGAGAAAGGGAATAAACCTTAGGCTGAGAAGGTGTGGAATACCCACAGCAGGAGCCTCACCAGCCCAGGCTACAGCCTCCAGGGCAACTGGAAGTCCTCAGGCTCCAGTGGGCTGCAATGAGTTGCTTCTACATTTCGGAGGTGCTTGCGTGCAAGGAACAGCGCAAGCTGGCGTTGCCGCCGTGGGCTCAGGCCCTGGCCCACAAGCCAGGGGAAGGTGGGCCCATGTGGCCCCCAGGCCTGTTCCTCCTGGCAGCCCTCACGGTAAGAGTGTAACACTGCAAGGCACCACTCGTCATCCACACGATAGCGTGTATAGAAGGCAGCCTCCTGTGCCAGGCTGTTGGAGCGCAGCCAGCGGGTCACAACAACACGGCCCTCATGTGCCATTAAGGTCGGATACCGGTGCTGCAGCAGGCGCAGCAGCAGTTCATTGCCACGGTTACCCTCCACGTCTCCAGGGGGCAGAGTAGGCAGGTGGCTCGAGGTGCTGACCACATCATCCTGGGTACGCCGCAGCAGTAGCACTGGCCCAGGATAGCAGCACAGCTGCTCAGCAACATTGAGGTTGAAGTGTTGCCGCACAGTGCGTACCACCAGTCCCTTCCAACTGTGGGGCATGACCTTCAATGCTAATGGCACAAGGTCATCAAAGGTGGCATCTAGCACCAGTGCTCCCAGCTCTGGGTAAGTCATGGTAGCCCAGGTCGCACTAAAGCCTCCAATAGACCAGCCATAGACCACCACATGTGCAGGTGGAAATTGCAGGCGGTGCAGGGCATACTTGACCACTACATCCATGGCGTTAGCATCATGCTGTGGAAACGGAGCACCTGTGCTGCCCCCAAAACCCGGATGGTTCCAGCCTAGCACTGAGTAGCCAGCTTCAAGTGGTGCAGACAGGCAGCCCATCTCATAGAAGCCAGCATTGCCTTCACAGCAGATGACCAGGTGCAGGCCACGGCCGTGGATGCCAGGGTTCTGTCGGCGATCCATGAACATGGTGTCAATCTCATTGCCATCACAGGCCACCAGTTTGGCACGCCGGCCATGGTAGCGCTCCACAAGGCGCTCTTGGCCCTGCTGCAGTAGTGGCAGTAGTGCTCGGGACATCAGGAACATGGAGCCAGGGTACACGAGCCAGCGCCCTAGTGAGTGGGCCAGGGCATAGCTGGTAAGCTGGCTGGGCAGCTCTCGGATCTGCTGTAAGAGGCACTGTGCCTGGCTTCGAGTCCGGCGCAGTGGCCGCCCTGGAGCATCCCCTCCCAGTGCTGCATCCCGAAGCAACCACACACCTGCAGCAGCTGCTGTGCAAGTCAGTGCCCGATGACTGCTGCCACCCCCACCAGCAGAGCACACATCATCCCATCGAAAGTCCACAGGCCAGCTGCGAAAGTTGTAGGTATAGTTGGCTGTCAGGTAGATCTTGAACACATGTACCAATGCCTTCACAAAACAGATGACACACATGGGCACACTGAGGCTTCGTGCTTTGCTGCACTAGTTCTGAGGTCCAGTTTGGGGGCTGTGGGGTGACAGGAGGCACAGGCCCTGCCCAGCTGCAAAGATAATGCTACACAGGGCTGTCTTGGGGCATGCCTCTTCTGGGTAGGCCATAACGGCCTTTGTGACCTGGCTTCCAGAGCCAGTGGGAGGCTACATCTGTCTGGCACCGCCCAGCTTTGTGAGTCACTGTTGCTAGGGAAAGAGATACCACTAGGGTGGTGGGTGCACAAAGAGTTCCAGGGCATGGTAGTCCTCAAATTTTGCCCTGCCAGCAAGGCATGGTGGTGCACGCCTGTAATCTCAGCATTCAGGAGGCTGAGTCAGGAGGATTGTTGCAAATTCAAGACCAGCCTGTGCTACAAAGTGAGCTCAAGAACAGACTGAACTTGGGGCTGGGGATTAGCTCAGCGGCATAAGCGCCTGCCTTGCAAGAAGGCAGTCGTGAGTTCGATCCCTGGTACCGATAAAAAGGAAAAAGACAAAAAAAAAAAAAAAAAGAACAGCCTGAACTGGGGCTGGGGATTTAGCTCAGCGGCATAAGTACCTGCCTTGCAAGCAGGCAGTCATGAGTTTGATCCCCAGTACTGATAAAAATGAAAAAAAAAAAAACAAAACAAAACAAACAAAAAAACAAGAACAGCCTGAACTGCAGAGTGAGACCCTATGTCAAAATCAACAGCGACACCTTCCCCAATCCATGCCTTGAACCATTGCTACTTCCCTCTTAACTGAAGATGAGCATCAGACAGGCCAGAAATGGGCAGCCTTGGCCTCTTCCTGGCAGGTGCTGGGATCTAGCTAGAAAGAAATGAAGATTTCTGATGCCTGAGCCAAGCTTGCTCTAGGTGCCTGCCATGGGGTCATTTGACTTCCATCTCCCCATTAAGCCTGGTGTCTCAATGGCGTAGCTGCTCAAGCAAGAAGGGAAGTTTGTTCAAGGCCTGCAGCTCAGCTTCTGCCACTCTGCTTCTCAGGAAATAGGGCAAGGACACTTTGGAAACCCCCCTCCCTCACCTTTTCAGGATCCTCTTTTCGCTGACACCAGCAATTGCAATGACCTTCTCCAGGTGGGTCCTGCTGAGTGGGTTCCTCTTTTTCAGCCATTGATTGAGTCCCTGCTCCTCCTCAAGCCACCACACAAGTTGTCCTTTCCTCTTTTTTAGAGGCTCTGGTGGGTTCCTCTTTCTTTCCTGTACTGGAGAGAGCCAGTGCACCTGAGGGCTGAGGGAGCAGATATAGGCAGGGTGTAGTTTGAATGCTCAATCCTAACTACTTAGGTGAACATTATAGGAGATTGGCAAGTTCAAGCCCATACTGGAAAATTGAGTCCTTGTCTCTCTCTCTCTTTTTTTTTTTTTAAAGGACTGGTGATGAGACTCCTGCCTGAGAAACCCCAAGCTTTGGGGGAGGGGTTTCCAGGACCCAGTAATCTGTTTCTGCTTTCTTGCTCCAGCCTCAAGCCGAGATACTGCCCACCCCAAATACTGTAACCCCAATGGCTTTGGAATCAGCTGAGGATGGGTGGACAGGACAGGAATCAATCAACAAAGTGATCTGAGGGCTGACTATTCCCCCCACATCTGAAGGTTCAGATAAAATACAGAATACCCAGTTAAAGTTGAGTTTCAGATAAACAGGAAATACCTTTTGACTGTAAGTATGTCCCAAATATTGTGTAGGACATTCTTATAATAGACGACTGCCCCACTTCACCATGGTATGGAAGTATACCCATGCAGTCACTCTGCTTTTCCTTTCAGTTCAGCATTCACTAAATTACATAAGAGTCAACACTATTATAAAATAGACTTTGAGTTAGATGGTTTTGCCTGTCACCTGATGTGTTTTGAAAATGTTTATGGTAGTCTAATGAGCTAAGGTTAGTGGTATTAAATGTATTTTACTTATACTATTTGCAACTTACTATGGGCTTATCAAGATATAACCCCATTGGGCTGGGGATTTAGCTCAGCGGCATAAGTGCCTGCCTTGCGAGCAGGCGGTCGTGAGTTCGATCCTTGGTACCGATAAAAATGAAAAAGACAAAAAAAAAAATTATTCATCTGAAATTCAAATTTAATGGAGTGTCTGATTTCTAGATTTGTTGTTGTTTTGCTAAGTCTGCTAATCTTACCCCAGATTTGCAAACCCAAGTATCTAAGATTCCACTGATTGTCCCGCTTTTGTTCCAGATTGGTCTGCTGTACTTGCTGTCAGGTCCTGAGGACCAAGAGGATGTCCTGCGGCCCACTGGTGCAGTTCTCAAGTCCTTTAACTCTTTCACCTCCAGGGGACCTGATTGGTGACAGGGAAGCCCAGGAGAGAGCTCATGAGGTGTCACACCTGGGGCCAAGGGGTGGGCAGTGTCCCATGGGGAATTGTGGTACTTGCCCTGCTGCAATGTTTACCTCTGACCATGTAGGGAAAAAGAAGCCATTGTGGTTAGTAGTTATGGTTTGGATCTCAGACATCCCCCAAAAGTTATCTTTAGAGAAGGGGCTTTTGGAAATTGTTTGGATCATAACAGCTCTAGTTTCATAATTTAATGGCATTATTAGGAGGTTGGGACTGGTTGAAGAGGGTGGGTTACGGAGAGGGGCTCATGACCTTGGAGGTTACATCTTGCTTCTAGTTCCTTCCTTCTAGCTTCTTGGTTGCTGTAGGTAAGCAGCTTTCCTCCACCATCTTGTTCTACTAGAATGTTTCTGCCTTGCCACAGGTTAAAAGCAATGGAGCCAGCCTCACATGGACTGAAACCTCTGAATCTGTGAGCCAAAATAAACCTTTGCTCCTCTAAGTTGACTTTCACAGGTTTTTGTCAGTGACAGGAAACTGACTAACACAGGGGTGGAGGAGGAAACCTTAAGGGACCTTCCAGGAACCTCTCTCATAAACATGCTGTGGGTATGGGTATAGACCCAAAGGTGCCAGGCATTTTGTGTGACCGTAGGAGCAATCCTAACCTCAAAGCAGACGGACTGATTGAGGGGGTCCAAGTCTCTGTTTGCTTAATCTGGGTCTAGGCAGTGGATAGAGAGGGATCCTCAAGGCCTATGATCCCTGATTTGGACCCTGTAAGGACAGTAGCCTCAGCACCAGTGGCAAGTGTCCTGGAGGACTGCTCACATAGCAGTATAGTGAGAGGTGTTGCATTTTGTTGTGATTCCTCAGGGAAAATTCTCACTTAGAGCTGCCTTGCCCTCCTAAGAACTGTCTCCTAGTTTTTTTCTATTCTCAGATCTGTTCGAAAATGGAGACTTTTCTTCAACCAGGCCCACCTGCCCTCAGCCTGCCCTTGCACCAAAGGACGAGAAGGGGAGGAACCAGAGACTGGCTTCTGGGAACCATAGGTCAGTGAGGTGGAGCCATAGCCTCCAGGGGCTCCATGCCTTAGCCTGTGTCTGGCCTGGCTCTTGACACCATCAGCCAACGGTGGCCTGAGTGCCCCAGAACCACCAGCTCTTGAGAGACTGGAAAGCATGTGACAGGAAGGGAGCTGTCCCCTCTCCAGAAAGCCCCCCAGATTAGACCAGCTGCAGCAGCAGTGACCTCTTGTGCCCCAACCCTCTGCTCAGGAAAGGACAACAGAGCTGGGGGGACTCTGGGTCGCTGCTTATCAGTTCTTAGAGAAATCCCTTTCTCCCCCTCCAGACAGACATATGAGCATGCACCCCACCCCCACGAGGCCTGCTAGCCCTGGACCTCCTCCCTCCCCCACTGAAGCAGTGCTTCCTCCCTGGCCAGTTCTGTTTGCCTCCCTGGAGGCCCTTGATTTATGCTGCTGAGCAGGCAGAGCCAACCTTGGAGAAGGAAGGAAAGGAGAGAGAGAAAACCAGTCCCAGAGACCAGAGGGGCTGGAGCCAGGATCAGAGCCCCTAGCAGAGTATGTCTAGTGTAGTATGAGTGACCACAGCAGCTCTGGGCCCAGGGAGCAGTGCCCTGGTCTTGGGAAAGCTGAAATGGCCCAGCAGGAGAGGGAGCTGAGTCTGCACAAACGCCTCTGCTCAGGAAATGGGGTGCAGGGAAGGTGGGGGTGGTTTGAACCCAAGGACAGGAGGGGACACTTCCTGGCGGATACAGGGTCAAGAGAAGGGCGGAAACAGCCAAGACAGCTGTTGAACATCTGGAGTCACAGAAAATTAATTGCACAGTGCCCTGGAGGACAGTGGGGTTGCAGAGCCTATCCTTTGTCTGTGTCCTACCCAGGATGAAGGACCTGCTGAGAAGCCCTTCCCCAGAGCACCCCAATACCCTTCCCAGGAGTAAAGAAGCCATAAATTGTTTTTGCTAAATCTTTGACCCCTGAGGAAGCCTGTGGCCACAAAGGTCACACCATGAATGACTATGCCCTGTGTGTAGAAAGAAGGTGAAGGGCCAGAGCCCACCAGACCTGATAAGGAGCCACTCTGCTCCTGGCCAACCCCTGAGCTTCAACCTCTGTGCCCCAGTGCCTGACCTGCTGCTCTCCTTTGGGAATAGGCCAGTGTCACTCCCATCTTAATGGCCCTGTGTACTACCAGGTGGGGGAAGGGCCACACTGTTTTCCATAGCAGGTTAGCGTCTGGGTGGGATTGAAAGCCCTGCCAGCCTTTCCAGTGGGAGCCAGATGTGCTAGGGCTCAACCTTCACCAGGGCAGGAAGCTGGCCACACCTTTTCTGTAATTCCAGTGGGTGGACATTCCTTACCCCTGGGTTCTTCAGGCCAACACCTGTTCTTGGGATGATCTCTGAGGTTCCAGACACACACCTTGAAGGGTGACTGTCCAGGAGCCAGTCTCAGCCCAGGCTTGGGAGTTCCTTAGAAAAGAACAGTATTTTTCTATCACTACAATACTCAGGGATGTGTGTGTGTGTGTGTGTGTGTGTGTGTGTGTGTGTGTGTGTGTGGTGTGTGGGTGCGCACGTGCTCATATGCAATTAATTTTAGTTTTTTCTCTGGTACTGGGGATTGAAACCTGGCAAGCCTTTGCACTGAATTATATTCCCCAACCCCAGTTTTTATTTTTTATTTTGAGATATGGTTGCCCTCAGCTTCCCATGCTGGACTTGAACTTTTGATTGTCCTGCCTCAGTCTCCCACAAATGCTAGGATTACAGGAATATGGCACCACACACAGGTTTTGATATAAGGTCAGTATTCAATATTGTGATTTTCTTTGAGACAGGATTTTACTAAGTAGTGCAGGGCCAGACTTGAACTCATTATGTAGCCCAGGCTGGCTTTGAACTCACATTGATCTTTCTGCCTCAGCCTCATGAGTGCTAGGATCACAGGAGTTTGCTACCATATCTAACTGACATTATTTTTATTCTAACTCCTAGGAGAGAGATGAATGTCCTCGCTGTTGTCCCTCCCAGTTATCCCAGTTATCCTGGTCCATTCCTCTCATACACTTTTCTGTAAGTATGTATATACTGTGGACTGATCAAGGAGGTTATTTTGTCATTCCCTTTTTTTTTGTTACTGGGAATTGAACTCACAACCTTGTGCCTGCCAGGCATGTACTGTGCCACTGAGCTATATTTCCAGCCCATCATTTGCTTTAAAGAACTAGATCTAAACTGGACGTGGTGGCTCACATTTGTAATCCCAGCACTCGGGAGGCTGAGGCAGGAGGATTTTTTTGAGTTCGAGACCAGCCTAGGCCACAAAGTGAGCTCAAGGCCAGCCTGAACTGCATAGCGAGATCCTGTCTCAAAAAGACCAAAAAAACAAAAACAAAAACAAAAAAACAAAAAAACCCTAGATCTAGCTTTCTTTTTTCCACAGTATGTTTTGAGCTCTGCTGCTGGTAGGATAGGCAGGCTGCACACCCTCTATGTTCATGCACTAATGGCCCAGGAATCTAGCACTAGAACGTCCCCATTTTCAAACACCTGCCCTGCATGTCACACCCTGTGCAAGCTGCTTGACTATATGTCCTTTTCCTATACACTAGATTCCTAAAAGCATGTTGCTTTCCAGCAGGGAACTGGAAAAGGTCTTATCATTACCAGGGGATTTGGCTAGACTGCTTCTCCAGAAGTCTGTTCTGGTCTGTGAATCTGGTGCCCTGGAATGGGACTTGGCTCTGGGCCTCTGTAGCAATATGTAGCAGCCTCAGGCTTTAACACTTGTCCATCTCCATTTATAAATATGTTAAGGACTGGGTGTGGTGGTACACACCTGCAATTCTAGCAGTCAGGATTGCTGCAAGTTCAAGGCCAGCATAGGCTACATAGGGAGTTCAAGGCCAGGCTGAACCATTGAACCAGTGAGATCCTGTCTAAAAAAAACAAACAAAATGCCAAATTGGTTGGAGATTGGCTAATCTCGACTGCAGACCTAACCAACATTAGAAGCCCACTCAACCCTTTGAGAGCCCTACCTCATCTGTATGGGGCACACATGTTCTCTTGGTGACCAGATAGAAACTATGGCCTGGATTTCAGTCAACTAGTCAACTCTGGCTTTGGGAAAAAAAAGAGAGACCAAGCTGGCCAGGGGAATGGGGTGAGAGGACAAATAGAGAAATCCTGGGACTTTTGGCCTAAGGGCCATTTCACCAGCATGGGGCTCATAAAAGCAGCAATGGGAACTGGAAAAGAGCCTAAAAGTTCCCAGACGGGAGACACATTCGGACTTTTGCCAAGAACCCCAGAGTAGACAAAAGTTGCCCACCTTCCCGAGTTCCTCCAAGTTCTGGAACTGTGGAAAAATTCCTGGAATGATGAAGTGTCACATAAGGCAGTCCACTCGTAGCCATTGGAAAGATGAGGTGTGACCTTGGGCCCTTGCCCCACACCCTCTCACACCCTCTTCCTACCAAGCCTACATCCCTTTCCCGACTCTGCTCTCCAGGGGCTGTGGATTGCAGGGTGCTGCATAGTCCCACCCTGGCCCAATCATATGGAGCAGGAGAGCCGTGTGGCAGAGCAGCTTAGCCAAGCAGGGAGTCTTGCTGGAGCTGAGTCTGTCCTGTGTACCCTGGCCCCTTATCTGCCTTCCTGGCTGGTGGCTCACGTCTCAGAATGTGTAGATTGGAAGCTGAGCTTCACTAAGGGTTAGGTCTAGGAAGGCAGGGCTGTGAGCTCAGGGTTAGGATGCCTTCACAATTCCAGACCTAGAGGCTCCTAGCCCTGAAGTAAACCCATTATCCTTGGAGATCTCAATACCCAAAGCAGGTGAAGAAAGCCAGTCCAGAGATGGGTGGGCCCCTGCAAGATGGCTGACAGACCTAGGTTGGCAGAGACAGAGTAGATCCAAGTCTGGCCCATTCAATGGGACAAAAGACTGTGACCAAGGCCCCACCCTGCCCTGCACACAGCTGCGGGAGGGGGTGGGCCTCCTGAGCTGGCTCAGTGGATCTAGGTTATGGCCCTGGCGGCTTCTTCTAAGTCACTTGCACAGATTAAAAACGGCAACTGTCCCAGAGCTGACCCCAGGGGACCCTGAAAGCTTTCCCACCCCCAGCACTCATAGTGCTCAGTGTCTGCCTGCCGGACTCTGGGACGATGGCTGCTCCTGCTTCCTCAACCCCCACCCCCTGCTGGTCTGGAGAGCTGGCTCAAGGTCAAGCCCGCTTCAGCATGGCCATGGCAGGTGGGGCTAGGCAGGCGCAGATTGGCAGGCCCTCTCCTTCAGTCCTCTCCTGTCACTGTAGGGCTCTACCAGGAGGCTGGGAAAGAAGAGAAACCCAGAAAGTAGGCTGGCCTAGGGCGTCCAAGAAGGTGCCCCTTGCCTTAGTTCCTGTGGCTTCCAAGGCCACCCAGGCCTACATGTACCACATGGACATACAGGCGCATGCATACGGTGACCCTATCTCAAGGACAGCCTCTGGAGGCCAGAAAAATGTCTAGGTCTTTGCTTTTAGGCCACCCAGGAAGGCAGTGGAGTGGGAAGGAAGAAGGAACTGGGGGAGCTCCTGGTCTTCCCACCCCAGCCCTGGGGACAGGCACTCACAGTAGGGCTGTCTACCCCCATACTTTGAAACTACCCTGAGCTGGGCCAGCTGCTGGGGATGCATGTGCCTGCCCAGCTCCTCTGGTTGTGCAGGAGCCCAGAGTGACTACAAGGCTGACTGCCTTTGAAGTGCTGTGGCGAGGCCACAGGAAGTGGGCAGCAGCCCACCCAGGCCTTGGGCCCACCCTCCTGGGGTGAAAACTCCTGTGCACTGGGCCAGGAGCCCAGCCTGGAGTCACTCCTCCATGCTGGAACACTTTCACTGCCTAGGAATGACTGCAGGGGCTGCCTGCCACTCCTGGCTGAACCCCACCCATGAACTCTTTCACCTGGACTCCTACAGGGTCCGCAATGGGGCACACTGGTCTCTCTCTCTCTCTCTCTCAGCTAAAAATAGCAGGTCTTGGGCTTTGTGGAAAACCCCCAGGGTGGGGAAGGAAGAACCAGGGCAGGGAGCTGGGGCTGAAGGAAGGGAGGCTTCACAGGAAATGCCTGGGTGCCCTGGCCGCCCTAGAAAAGGCTCCTGGTCAGTGGCTCACCCCTTGGAAAGTCCCAGGCAGTGCCTGCAGACCTGGGGGTGGGGGAGCAGAGGCCAGGAGGGTGGCAGGAATCTCCTGAGCCCTGTGGGCTGGGCCTCAGATTCTAGGGTGACTTCCTCTTCAGCCTGGGCTGCTCTCCTGCCACGAACCCCAGGAGGGTAGAATGAAGGTAGTTCTTTCTCCTTTGGTCACTTTCTACACTTGCTGGTAACCTAGCAATCCAGTTTCCCTTGTTTCCTCTGATTTCCCTTCACCACTCACAAGAATAGTTTTTCAGCAGATATTTACTCGAAACCCAGTAAGGGCTTGGCCCAAAGAATGGCTTTGCAGGGATCAGGAGCTAAGATTGAGGTATAGGCTGTGGAGTATGGCTGAAGGGAGTGGTTGTTCTGGAGGACTGAGAACAAGTCAAGATGTGGTAAGGGTGTCAGCACACGTAGCGCTTTGCTGACTGGGGTTAGGAGGTTGCAAGGAAGTCACTTCTAGGAAGCCACTGAAAGATTCTCAACCAGAAAATTCCAGATGATGCTGCATTTCAGAGAGGCAGTTGACCCTCCCCCTCCAATACATACACAATCTGATCCAAAATATTTGGGTAAAAATGACATCTATATTAAACATGTATAGATTTTTTTCTTGTCATTCCTAAAAGACACAGCCTTGACATTGTATTAGCCATTAGAAGTCATCTACAGATAATTTAGGTGTATGAGAGGGCGGGACATGGCTCAGTAGTAGAACACTTGCCTAGCAAGGTTCTGGTGTGTTCCCCAGACCATAATAATAATACAGTGTTGTACCCCCAAAAACAAGACCCCAAAATATTGTCCAAAAAACGGGCAAGACGTCCTTTTTTGGTCTTTTTCCTTTTTATCGGTACCAGCGATAGAACTCACGACTGCCTGCTTGCAAGGCAGGCGCTTATGCCGCTGAGCTAAATCCCCAGCCCCACAAGATGTCTTTTTAAAGAAAAAGGAGTGCTTTTATTTAGGCTGGCACCAGCAACACAGTGCAGTTGGAGTTTGCAAAGCAGTGTAACTGGCTTAAAATTTTGACAGACTTTTACAGAAAGAACAATCACAAAATAAATGAGGAAGACCTTTGTTTCCCTTTGCTTGAGGGCAGAGAAGTCTCGCAGTTCGTGGTCAGCCATTTTCTTCTTTACAAGAATTTACAGTCCCTTGTCTACTAATTTCAGGATCACACAAGGGGAACAAAGGCTGAGAGGGATCAAGGTGCACTGATTCCAGGAACAGTTGTCCTTCACAAAGGAACAAAGGTTAACACAGCAAACAGGTTACGATGACAGCGCTTTTTAGTGTAACAGAAAGTATATGTGAAGATTTATGTATGTTCTGCACAAATGCCTCAACACTCTATATAAGGGTCTCAAGCATTCCTTGGATTTGGGTAAAAGGGTATCCTAGAACCAGTCCCCTGGTGACACCTAAGGACACTGCTGGTGGCTTGGAGGGCTGGAAGGAGCTGGCAGCTAAGGCTGCTGGGAGGAAGAGAAGGCAGGGAGAGGCAACTGAGATAATCCTACATGTGCAAGAAAGGCAGCACAGTGCAGAGAAGGCCAAAGAGAAAGAAGCTTTGCTGGACACAGAGGAGGCAGTGCAGAGCAACTCCCAGGAGCCTGGGCCCTAGGCAGGGCTCTCAGGTGTGGCTTCCTGGTGGCACAGTCTTCCAGGAAAATGTTTCTGCAGTGAGTGGCTTAGGTATATGTTGGGGTTCTTACATGGATGCCATGAAAGAACAGAAATTCAAATACTGCAGTTATTTCAAGAGAGTGATTATAGAGTGGCCCACAAAATCTAAACCAGATGAGGAAGAAACTAAGGAATGAGGAGCGTCACACCTGTAGTCTCTATACTCTGAAAGGCTGAGGCATGAGCATTGCAAGTTCAAGTCCAGCC